CGAGCCGGGAGCTCCGCTTGCCCAGGGGGTGGGTGAATAATTAACAGCGAGCGGCTCCGGGGGAGGAAGGCGGGCGCCGGGACGGGGCCCTGCGCCGGGGCGCTCTGCCCCATGGGCTGCTGCGCGGCCCTGCGCTGGGGGCCAAGCTGGAGAGGGGCAGGAGGTTGTTCTGCGCTGTGGAAACTTCCCCTCCACGTTGCTCAACCACGGTTTGCGAAAGGGCCACCGGTGACGGCACCGCGCGCTGCCGCCCGCAGCAGCGTCCGCCATGTGCGGGCACGACGGAGCCCTTCGTCCTGCCCGTGTTTGGGCTGTCAGTGCTGGGGCGGAAAATGGAGGCTCCAACGTGATGGAGAGCAGGTTTCTGTCTCTGCACCTCGTGCTTCAGGCCCTGCCGTGTTTTCCAATGGAGACATCAAGCTCACAGCGCTGGGCACCTGTGCAAGGGATGAGGCGCCGCGATTTACTACCATGCAACCAGGCTGAATCTGGGGAGCTTGATGCTAGAATAAATCTCCCCCTTTGGCCAGACCGAGTGTTTGTCTATACAGGTAGCAAGTGCTTTTGCAGGGACATAAACTGAGGCTGAAAATCACAAGGGTTTAACACCCCCGCCAGTCTCCTCAAGCTCCTCACGCCGATCCTGCAGTGGGAATTCCGCGCTGGGACACGGAGCTCTCCGGCGTTTGAGCAGTGCCGCGGTCTGCGCGTTGCCCCTCCGCCCGGGAACGCGGCCGTCGGCGCGGCCTGGCCCTCGCTGCGGCTCCCGTTACCGGCAGGGGAATTCACACAACTCTCCCACTTCTCTCCTGCACGGCTTAAAAACGCTCCCTTAAGCAGCGACACGTATCGAAATCTTATTCAATTAAGTTGCAAAACTATATTGGTATGACAAGTGTTGCCAAAATTAATATATCAGGGAGCTGTGTGTAGGCTCCGGAGTGTCTGTCTGATGCTGCGGCTGTTTTGGGAAGCCTGGGAGGTGCCGTTGCTGACGACTTCTGGTGGGCTGAGCCTGCTCTTTCCGCCAGCCTTTTGGGAGGCAGCTCCTACCTGGGTTGCGGGGAGCCCGGCCCTGCCGGCTGCAGCTATAACTTCACCCACGGTTGCTTTTAGTGCTACCTACCAGAAGGAAACTGGAGCCCCTGCGATTTTTCCTTCCCTGGAGAGCTCGGGGAAGGCTCGCTGCATGAGTGCACACACACAAAGGTGCGTTTGCAGCCGCGTTTGCAGCCGTGTTTGCGCGGGCAGGCACGCTCGGCTCGCTGGCTGGCCAGGCACAGGCTGTTTTTACTTGCCCTGGAAAGGGCGACACAGGCAGATCGATTCGGAAGCTGCCTTACTGAGACGCTTTGAAGGGAACAGATTTCCTCTGCTGGCGACACGTAGGAAAATCTTTTGCCTGAGTGGTGTGGGCTTTAGATTGTGTCTATGCTGCGGCAGAACCAGAGTTTCGTAGAAGTTGGAGAGTAAATGTAAACGTGTAAATGTGGTATTGGTTCCATATCTAAGAGCTTGTTTTTTTGGAGTCCTGTGCTTTAAGCTCTTGTTCCCTCCTGCCTGATCAAGATGGATGGCCCATAGTATGGGACAGAGCTGGCCCTGCCAGCAAGACTTGGCAGCTGGGATCTGTTGATGATTTTGTTGTACAGGATGCCACAAAGCCTGGATTGCTTCTTGGGTTCCTGGGTATTACCGAGGGAGGAGCTCCACTACAATCAGGGCCACAGGGCTCATCCCGTATATGAGGAGTGGGTAACCTGGGTTTGGCTTTGCTGTAGGTGCCCGTGCCCAGGTCAATGGGAGCCTCCAGGTGCTGCAGTCCCCGGAGAAGGTGTCGGTGTCCATGGGGAAGACGCTCACGCTGAACTGCACCGTGCTCGGAAGCAGGGTCGCAGGACCCGTGAAGTGGCTGAAGGACTCAGGAGGAAAGAGAGAGATTGTTTATGAATTAAAAGGCTCCTGGCCCCGTGTGACCAGGGTGGTGAATAACTCCGAAACAAATTACGACATCAACATCAGTAACATGCAAGTTGAGGATGCTGGGACCTATTACTGCGTGAAGTTTAAGAAAAGAGACCATCAGGACGAGGTGCTTTTGTCGGGAAAGGGCACGAAGGTGCTTGTGAATGGTGAGTGGAGCCTTCAGCCCCGTCCCCCCGGCCTGGCCGTGCACCCTGTTCCCCGGGGCTGCGGGGCAGAGCGCCGGCCCCACGGGCAAACGCCTCTCCCCACAGCCAGCCCCGTGGACGTGGCCGTGTCGGGGCCGACGCAGCGCGTGGAGTCGGGCAGCTCGGCGACCTTCACGTGCACGGCCAGAGGCTTCTTCCCCGAGGACATCCAGGTGCAGTGGTTCAAGGACGAGCACTCGCTGTCGGCACCACCGGTGCTGGTCATCCCGGAGCGGCCGGGCTCCTCCTTCGCCATGAGCAGCGCGGTGCAGGGGCGGCTGGCGCCCGCCGACGTGCGCGCCCGGCTCAGCTGCGAGGTCGCGCACTCCACGCTGAGCACCCCCCTG